ATAGCATGATGGGAAGTGTCCATGTGGGTGGAGCCCAGAAGTGGAAGTACCAATGGAGCTGCTGGTTGGGATACCAGGAAACACCTTCTAAAATGTTCCTGGCAGTGTACAAAGTGGGCACTTCTTTCTGAATCATGACCAGGGGATCCAGGAAGGACTTACAGATGCCAGTGGTCTTGCCAAGCACTTGGCATAAACATTTCCACCTGCTAGGAGGTGGCATCGGGGGTGTGGTGACTGAATGGAGTTGGGGAAGAACATTTTACCTTTATGTGCCCTGTGGAGAAGACAGAAAAAGAAGACTTACCCCAAGATCCCATGGTCACCCAGGCCCAGCTTACACAGTACCATCCCAATATATTCACCTGTGACCTGTGGGAAAATGACTGCTTGCTGCCTTCACTAGCCATTCCTCCCTTTTGCCTTATTGATAAAGTCACCAATATTTTTTAAAAGATTTATTTATTGTAAATATAATGTTCTGTTTGCATGCATGCCTACAGGACAGAAGAGGGCACCAGATCACATCACAGATGGCTGTGAGCCACCATGTGGTTGCTGGGAATTGAACTCAGGATCTTTGGAAGAGCAGGCAGTGCTCTTAACCAATAAGCCATCTCTCCAGCCCAGTATATATGTTTGTTTGTTTTGTTTGTTTGTTTGTTTTTGACAGGGTTTCTCTGTATTGCTTTGGAACCTGTCCTGGAACTAGCTCTGTAGACCAGGCTAGCCTCGAACTCAACAGAGATCCGCCTGCCTCTGCCTCCCAAGTGCTGGGATTAAAGGCATGTGCCACCAACAGCTGGCCTCCAGCCCAGTATTTTTAAAACTACTATTTACAGAGAGAGAGAGAGAGAGAGAGAGAGAGAGAGAGAGAGAGAGAGCAGGTATATGTGCCGCAATCAGAGAACAACTTGCAGAAGTTACCTCCTTCCATCATGTGAATTCGGGGACGGAACTCAAGCCATTCGTCCTGTCAAGACCACCACTCTTTAGCAATGTATACACATGTCTGTCTTTCCTTGCTGTGTAGCCAAGTGCTCTGCTATACAAAAAGAGTGGGTCAGAAGTACCCTAGAGTGACTTCCAGACAACACCCTTAAAAGATGGCAGGCAGGTGGCCCTTGCCACTTTCTGTCAGTCTTCTGGAGTGAGTGAGTATGACAGTGGGCAAGCAGGCAGACAGAAACAGCATAGGAGCCTGAGTCCTTGAGACTAGGAATGACCTTGTTTGCTCTGGATCATTCCTCAGAAGTGTGTGTGTGTGTGTGTGTGTGTGTGTGTGTGTGTGTGTGTGTGTGTGTGTACAGGCATGGAGGCCAAAGGCTGACGTCAAATGTTTTCCTCTATTATTGTGCAGCTTATTTATTTTGAGACATAGCCTTTCATTGAATCAGAGCTTACCATTTCGGCTAGACTGGTGGTCAACAAGCTCCCCAGAAGCTGAATGTCACCACCAGCACCTGTCCCATATAGCCTGGCACTAAGGTCACAGATGTGTGCTGTTACCCCTGGTTCTGGGGATCCAAAATTTAACCCTCATGCTACCTCAGGAAGAATTTTGCCCACTGAGACATCTCCCCAACCCAATTTTACTATGTATCTTCAGCACACACATCTGAACCTAATTATTCTAGGAGACACATCTTCTAACAAGAAGAATTGAAACATTAGAAAGAATAATTAAAGCAAACTAATTCCAACAGAAAGGACTCTCGGGTGACTGCAGGACCAGACGTTTTCATTCCAGACAACTAGGAAAGAAACTTTCAATCTTGGATGCTCATTTGGAACATTACACAAACCTCCCCTCTTTCCACTTCATTTCTGTAAAAGTTTTGCTGTGTGTCTGGGGATGGACTTGTTTTTCAGTTTTCTTCTAACCTTATAATTGCCTCAACATGAAGGACTTCTTGTTGTTTGCAATCTAAATTTAAATTGAAGTCTTTTTTGCATCATCTGTCTTCATGCTCTATGTGGCATCAAGTGTCTGTTCTATCCCCCATGGCCAAGAGCGGCTCTAAAGGAGGCAGCCTACACACCTGTGACTTGCCCAGCCCATTTCCTGGCTGGTGACTGTTGCACCTTCTCTGTCTACAGCCAATCGTCAGTGCGTTCATCTCACGGCCAGGGAGAAATCTGCTTGCGTCGTCACACTGAGGCTTCAGACGGTTTATCTGGGCTCTTTCTCACAGCTGGCATCTGCTAAAGCCAGTCTCCAACAGATGATTTACCACAATTATCCCAGTGATGGGTATAAGTTTGTGTTTCACATCCTGAATCTCCAGGAAATCAAGGCAGACCATAGGAAGCAGAGCTATTACCCAACTAGGGCTTTGTGTCTTCTTATATTTAGACTTCATGGGGACAGTGTCTCTAGAGCCATGTGGCTTCACATTATGATACCTCCGGCACCAGCTGAGTCATCGTGACTTGGGGCTATGGAATGAGGGGACATGACCACTGTGTTTCTCAAACTCTGATGGCAAGAGAATTAACCTGTCTAGAATACCCAAATCAGACCCTCAGGGGAGCAGTCTGGGAAGTCATATCTGAACAATCCTGGGGCAGTTAGGGAATTGCTGATCTAGCATTCTGTGAGGGCATAACAGTCTTACCAAGGGAGCCAGTGGGGTCAGGCACACCCAACTACCTATGGTCCTGGATTAGGATGCTGCTTCTTAGAGCCTCAGTGTACTTGCCTGTGAAATGGGGGTAATAGGTCTTACTTCTCCAGTGCTTGCTGAAGATTGCAAATGTGGTAAATGAAGATACTTGTTGCTCAGTATCAACTTAGCCAATGGCAGCCATCAACGTTATTGTGACAGTGATTTTCAGAACTCAAAGAGGTCTTATGTGTGGTTGAGGAAGTAGGCTTTGAACTGTATGCAGGAAACTCTACAATCTCCCTTAATGTTGGCACCACTGGGGACTGGGACTGAAGAAAGAGCCCTGCTGGCTCTTGGGATCTGGACTCAGTATGTTGGCAAACTCTAAAAGTCAGCCAGTGCTGTTCTATCCACCCTGCTTGAAATGACACAAGGGCAAACACTACCCTGATGGGGGATGTCCTTCGGTATATATGTTTCTCTCATTGGTTTATGAATAAAACCCTGACTGGCCAGTAGCCAGGCAGGAAGCATAGGGCTGCCAGGTCAGGAGAAGGCTGGGGAGAGGGAGGCAGAGAGAGGTCCCAGCCAGAGGCTGCAGAGAGATGCCATGCTGCCAAAAGAAAAACATGCCAGATTACAGGTAAGCCCCAGCCTCATGACAGTACATAGTTTAATAGAAATGGGTTAATAATTAAGAGAGAGCTAGCCAGTAAGAAGCCAGCCATCGGCCAAACAGTCCTATACTTAATATAAGTCTCTGTGTGTTTATTTGGGGCAAAGCAGAAACTTCCCTCTTCACTGTCCCATCAGCTGTCTGAACTTTCTGGCACTGATGTGGACAACAAACAATATGACTTTTTAACAGAAAGCACAGGTAATCAGAAAGGCACATATGGAGAGTATGAAACTCTCAGTGCACAGCCCCAACACAATGACGAGCTGGGTGTAGTGTGGGCAAGGATGGTGACAATCTTCACAGTTCTAGGCATACTGTCATTTAATCTTTAGAGCTGACCCCAAGAAGTGGGTGTTAGTCTCTCTGACCCTTTGATGGATGAGAAAACAGACATTCTTTCTAGGAACTCCTTAGAACTTTGGACAAATTGCTTCACATGCCATGACAATGATGTCTAACTTATAAAGATTAAAAGTATAAGAAAATGAGGGGCAAGTCTTACTCAGTAGCTATTTTGAGAAATGAGGGTAGACTAAAACTTATTTACCCTAAACCAGAAAGTCTGGGTTCTTATGCTTTCTCCCCCTTGGATGTGGCCTCTGGGGAGTTCTTAGCTACAATGTTTTGTGGGGTTTGTTTCAAGGCTAAAGGGGGAGAAATAATGTACTCTCTACCTAAAAGTTTTTAAAGGATTAGGTGAATTCCTATATGAAAGCATTGTGCAGCCAATAGGCCACAATCCCATGTGTCAGGGGGAGCTCTATTCCTCAGTTAAACAAGCTACCCAAAGTCACAACACATTATATCCTAGAGATAAGATGCAGGCTTTTATAACAGTCCCTACTTCTTTAATGGTAAAAGATATATTTTCTGGAGTTCTAAAGTTATTCATAGGTCCAGGTTTCAAGAACCCAGCAATTTCATCTTCAACACACTATCATCAGTGCTTCATGGTCAGTAGTACCCAGCATCCCCTGCAAATGCACGGGAGACAGTCTACTAGACAACATACCTCAAAGGAACTGTAATCAATGGCAAGACTGTGCAATGTCCCAGTCTGGACCCTCCAGTTCTTCAGGAACTCCCTCCTCTCCTCCTGACCATCCACCTGCCACAGTCAGTCAATCTCTTTGGCACTCCCATGTCCCCTGCACAAAGGCAGTTCTCTGAATGTTGCCATCCTTAACAACACACACAAGAAGACCCAAATAATGACCCCCAGCCCTAGGTCTCACCGTTTATTCTGCAGAACCCGGCTAGCTCCTGTTAGAGTGTGGAGAATCCATCCTTTCCACGCCAAACTGCTGGTGAACACAGGCAGTTCAGGGCAGATCACCAGGCTGGGGCCAACCTGGCAGGTTCTTAGAGCTCAATACAAGTGCAGCAGGGACTGCAGTGCCTGGTAGAGGGCGCTGACTCCTGGACAGGAGCACTGGTTCCCAGGAGGGCAATACCAGAGGGGTCCACAGGACAAGGTTGGCCAGCTTGTAGCCAGGGAGCTCTGGGCTCTTAGTGAATTCCCAGAGATCAAGGCCAGCCCTGGACAGGCTCTGATGTTGCTCTGAGTGAGCCCTGGCAGTGACTTCCTGGCAGGTTAGGCATAGCCTGGTCGCCTTGACCACCAGAAAGAGAAACCCAGGAAACTCAGGACGCTGTTGTGCCCTGGAGTGACGCTCACCTCCGGGGCTTGCAGCCACCCTCCCTGTCGTGGGGATTCTGAGAACATGCTTGCCCAGAGCCCCAGAAGTACCCCTCTGCCCACACCACACCTTACTGTTTTAAATACATATCTCAAGCCAAAGTTGCTAACGAGGTTGGAGAAACGTGTGAGAAGGAACACAGTGGTGGCGCTGAAGGAGCTGGGCCAGCAAATCCAAGAAACTAAATGCCGGAGGGAAAGGCTGCTGAAGGACAGCAGGCAGCTACTAGAGGAAAAATACCGGGTGTGGGCCGAAAACCAGCTTTTCATGGGATACCTGCGTCAAAACAGCGAGTGGTGCGAAAAGAAACGGGAGGCGCTTTGGAGGCAGTGTGCCCAAGAATGTGGCGAGATTGAACGAAGGAGACAAGAACTGGCGTCCAGAAACGCCCAGAGAAACGCAGCCCTTCAAGCACAGCTCCTGTGGGGCAGAAAGACCCAGGAGGATTTAAAGCAGCAGCTGCAAGCTCTGAGGACCATTTTCAAGGTAAAGGAGAGGCAGGACATGAAAATGCAGGCATTGGAGAAGGAGAAAGAGAAAATCCGAAGTGAGACAGCGGCCAAGGACCAGGAGGCACACATGCAGTTCCTGCAGGAGAAGGCACTGATGGAAAAGGAGTTGGAAGAATTGCATTTGATGCAGCTGGGGAAGATCAGCGCCAAGGGGCTTAGAAGGAAGCACCAGGCCTTGGCGCTGGCATGCAAGCAGGCTCATTTTGAGTTCTGTGGCAGCCTCCACAGAGAGAACCAGCAGCTACGAAAGGAACTTCAGCAACTGAGTCAGGAGTATCGCGTGGTGGAAGCTGTGAGGAGCCAGCTGGAAAAGCAACAGCAGCTGGTGAAGGAGGAGCAGTGGTATCTAGAAGCCTTGATCAGAGGGCGGCAGCGGCTGCAGGCCGGACGTGAGCGCATGGCCAACCCGGTCATAACCCATGCATCAAGGAAGGGGCGCTACAAAGACCACGCTGAGCAGCAAATCAAGAACAAATTCAAATTAACAGCTACTGTAAGTGATTGAAGAATTTGAGCATCGGAGATAATCTACAATCCAAAAAAGTATTCTTCATGGAGAATAGAATTTTGTTTTCATAAAGGGGCAGATGTTGTGCTATTGGGTTGTGGTCCTACCCTGGGACCCATGCCTTCCTGGGGCTGCTGTGGATTCCAGGGATTTAGAACATTTGGGAAATTTTTTAAAAAAAAGTGTGCCGTACATTTTTATAGCAGTATTTGAAATTCTCAGATTGCTTGGTTATAACATGAATGTTAGTTCTGCCACACTTGTTTTTTTCTTAATGTGTACTTTATAGTCCACAAAGTGCTGTATATGATGTGTATGCTGTGTATTTTTACCCATTTGAAACAAGTAGGAATCATATTCTAAATGGTAGAGAATTTCTATTTGTTGAAAGGGGTTGTATGTTTGCATTTATGATGGACTGCTGCTTTGCTGAACTGTGGGTTCTGGTTTGGGAGAATGGTCATGCCCTGCATGGGAAAATGGGGTTGACTTTATGTTTCTCAGAAAATGTTGGTAATGAAAACTTCAAAGTAACTTTTTAGAATTTTCACCTTTATGTATATGTAAAATTGACTCATTTAAAATAGGATTAAAGGGATAATTCACTTTTCAATGTGTCTTATCATCTAAATTTTAACATTGCTGGTAAATGTGTACTTTGCCATTAAACAGTATTGTTAAAAACAAAGCCTACTTTTGATTATTTCTTACTCTCCAGCTTTATAAATGCAGTAGAAACACTTCATCTATGTAGTGTTTCAATGTTGCATCCATTTTGTGTCTCATTATATTATTATCACCCCTTTGATGAGAGGATATTTATATGGTGAGGTAAAATAGGCAAATGATGTAAGCACCATGACCCAGAGTTAGGCCAGTGCATCAGGGCTACTTTAACACAAATGTTGTAATATGGAAAACAGTCTGTCTAATAAACTATACAGCTACTGAGTGGCTAACAGGTGAGTGGTATATGCAACATGGGTGCACTGGGCAAGAATCATCTGTGACACTTTTGTAATGCTAGGATGGTACACTATTTCACTGGGTTCCTTGAACACAAAATATATGAATTGTTTCTTTCCAGCATTTGATTCTGGGCTGAAGTTGAACACAGATAATTGAAAAGGTAGGAAGGAAAGCCATGGGTAAGAGGAGCTGCCACAGTGCCAATCCAGGTGCATCATTCTGCCATGCTGTTGGTGAAGGAGAAGCATTCCTATACTTCATTTCTTTTCTCACGGGGTAAGCATTGTAAGTGCTCCACAAGTTTGGAGGCTAACTGTGGATCTTTTTGCTTTGTGCCTTGAGCCATTTTTATACTGTCTAACCAGTGGCACAGCTGGCTTGATGCTTACAGGCTGCTTCAGGCCTCAAGAGCTGAGACAGGTTATCTTTTTCCTAATGCCCTGGAAAATACAAATATAAAGCCTCGTGCTTCCTGTGGATTCTATGGCATAACATTCCACCCCACAGCGAAAAACATTCATGGGAAATATGAAGGAGGGGGCAGTCGTGTTACAGTAAGATTTTATTTACAAGAGCAGCCACAATTTACCAGTCTCTGCTCAAGGAGAATAAAGGTTTTCCCCACTTATGTTTCCAGTTTCTTTCTGCACCATCATGTGTTGGCTGTGAATATGCTGGCATGCAAGCCAGGTGTTGGCTGAAGTATTGAGGGGAAAGTAAAGCCACACTTCAGGACAAGCATCTTGAGAGGTGAAGGCGCCTCCTCCACTCCAGTAGGTTAAGGATCATCTTGATGAACTTTTCCCCTCCATCCATGTTCTATGCCAACCTGACAGATCCTACCCCACTTTCCCTAGCCATGAGTATTCATGCAACATACACACAGAGCCAGCCAGTCGTACAGGAAACACGGGAGGCACACATCTTCCAAGGAAAATGAATTCTGGGCTTTCACTGAAACAATCCAAGGCTACTCCATATTAAACACGTGTTCTTCATTCTTAGAATTCCTTTGGCTTCTTTCTCTTTAAATTCTACTCTCCTACCATACTGCTTAGCTTTCTGTCTTCTAGTAACTCCTATCACCTTGTTAGGTGGAACAACTGAACCATTATCTCAATGCACCCTGTGCTTCCCTTTGCACAGCTGCTGGGAGACCGTCTCCTCATTCTCCCTCGGCCACTGCAGGAGAAAGGGGCAGCTCATGTCACCATATGTTTGAAACCACCCTCCCTCTCAACTCAAGAGCGAACTTTTGGTTTTTCTTTTAAATAACATGTTTTTCTTCCATAACATAATTGAAAATCTGCTTGTTAAGATTTTGTTTTGTTTTGTAAGAGCTAGTGTAAACAGGAAGACAAAAGTTAGAAGAGGGAAGGGGAATGCTGGAGCAACCATTCAGCAAGGCGGAGAGGACAGCCATGACAAGGACATCAGTGGCAGGAGCACTCTGTTTTCCTAAGATGTTATCACCATGTGTGGTGCCAGTGGCCTCTATCCTGGGCTGTGTTTATTCTAACACAGATGCTGAAGAGTGGAGCCCATTGTGCTGACAAGAATGGTCCCATCAGACTAAATACATTTGTTGAGCAATTTCCCTGATGAGAGAATGCTATACCATTCTCAAACATTTTTAAAAAACTCAAAACCAAAAAACAGATGCCCACTCTACTGTGTTGTCAAACACTTCTCATCCATAAATTACTCAGGCAGAATTACTATCAGAATATTCAAGAGAAAAGTGTAAGGAGACGAATATTTTACTGTTGTATGGACTCTGTTACTGTTAAAAAAAAAAAACTGAGATATCAAGGATTGCATCATGGAGGAGGCATGGGGCAGCAAAGGTACTCTGTAGACTGAGACAGGATAAGGGAGAGGCTGCCGTCCCTTCCCGCCTCCCAGTGAGGAGAGGAGCTCTTTAAAAGGTCTTTTGCCTCTGGTAGATCTATAACCTAGAGACCGAGGCTTCAACACATGGCAATCAATGTCACTGGATGCTTGTCACTTTCTCAGTTGAAATTAAGGAAACCTTGCCTGAGGCATTAGTGAGGCACACCTGGCCTCTTTGCATCCCTCTCTAGCCCCCAGCACCCTCACCCCAGATAATTTGCCTTGTATGTGATTAGAAACAAGTTTGTTCAAGTTCTCTGCTTCCATTTTCTCAGGGAAACTCTCACACCCTGTGAGTGCCTGGAGAAAGTACCTGTGAGTGCCTGTGGTGCCTGGAGAAGGGTCCTAGAAGAACCCAGAAGACACAGGCCTTCCTGCTGAGCTGAGAGTCCCCAGGGTGGCAGAGCCAGGGTAAAACACTACCAGGTGCAGAGCACAAAGACAGCACCCACGGGCCACACTGTGCTTCCACTCTAAGAGGATGCTGGGCTCTGGCTTGGACAAAGCCTGTGAGGGACCAGTCAATCTCTTTTCTGGTTCTAACATGCCACAGATTACCTCCCCAGTCAGTCCCCACAGATAATGGTGTCCTGTTGCTTGATTTTGGTCAGGTGCTACACCAGAGTGCAAGAAGTCTGGGAGGGCAACTGTTGGGGCTTCTTAGCTCCCACACGGATGTCCTTCCTAATTGGGAGGTTTCAGAAGGTAGATTTTTAAAATTTGATACACCAAATGTCCATCAAGACACCCTGTGACCACACATGGCTACTCTCATCCTCAGATCTAGCTCTTTTGCTATGTCCTCTTGAGAATAAAAAGGGAAACAAATAAAGATTAATGTATAATTTGCATATTAAATTATGCAATCAAAAACTTAGAGGAAACTCCACACACCAGGGGACTCCAAGAATGAACCCTAGTTATCTCCAGAAAATCTTAACATTCTGAAAGTAAGGAAAGATGAGGCATTAGTTAGGGCTCAGGGCCAGGAGATGAAGTGTTCACGCTTTCACCATTGGGCTCGTAGAATCTGTAAGAGGGAAAGTTCACATTTAAAGTCAAATAGACTCAGTGTGGTGATTTGAAAGAAGACATCCCCCAAGGGAGTAGCACTACTAGGAAGTGTAACTTTGCTGGGATAGGTGTGGCCTTGTTGGAGGAAGGGTGTCACTGTCAAGGGTGACTTTGAGGTTTCATATATGCTCAAGATACTGCCCAGTGTCTCAGACCACTTCCTGTTGCCCGCAAGTCAAGATGTAGGACTCTCAGCTACTTCTCCAGCACCATGTCTGCCTGCACACTGCCGTGTCCCACCATGACACCGTGATGATAAAGACACTGAAGCTCTAAAACTGTAAGCCACTCCAAGTAAATGTTTTCCTTTATAAGAGTTGCCATGGTCATGGTGTCTCTTCATGGCAACAGAAACCCTGTCTAAGATATTCCAGGTACATGATGTGGTCCTTCCACTCTAAACCTTGTACAAAGTACTTAATATTTCCCAGCCTCTGTTCTATTCTTTTAAAATAATAAAATTGCTCAAAGTTAAATAAAATAATGCATGTAAAGTAGCAGGAAAATTGTTGCTTAATAGCTGTTCCCCTTCCTCTTCCCTCTATGGAATTAAGATAAATAAGATTCCTATTTGTGTAATAAGCTAGCTTGTATATATTGGTATAATTTTACCTATTAACAATTATCTTATGCAAGCCTTCTAAAATTTGCTATGAAAAAGCATCTATAATTACTTTTAATAAGAATCTTAAATGAAATCATTTTGTTACAAAGAGCTTTTATTTTAAATGGGAAGCATAAAAGCTATCAAAAAGGATTTGATTATGGCTAAGTAACTGATAACATTTGATTTCTGGGCTCAAATAGATGGGGGTAAACTGGCTTTTGTAAGGCCATGTGCCTGCCATTAACATTAATTTTATGTTAAATTTTTACTGTGTCCTTTTACCAATATGGAAATAAGAGGCTAAAGGAGATTAAGAGATACCATCCCATTGTAAAAGCCTACCAAACATGAATCGTACACTCAAACCCCATTCATAAGTGTCTCCTTTTTGACTGGGCTGTGGATGTCATGCAAAAACACAATGGGTATGGCAAAGTGTAACAGGCGGTCAAGCAGAGGCTGTGACAACCGCTGGGTTGCCTGTCCCCATTTCACAGACCTTACCGGTAAGGACAACATGAGTCCTGTGGATTTAGAGGCTGATTCAGCACAATAGACAGTGTAAGGCTTGTGTGGCATCTGATTCTCTTGTCCTCCAAG